AAAAAAAAAAAAAAAACCCAAAAAAAACAAAGCAAAAAATCTAGAAACGTTTCGGCTCTCATCCAAGAGACTTCCTCAGTCTGAGGTGCTGTTTTCAGCTCAGTCTCTTAAATAGCACCTTCTCAGAGTGGATCAACCAGTTTGCTGCTGACAACCAAAACCAGCTGATCACATGCTCAAGAAGGACCATCAGCCTAACAATGGATCATTAGCACACTGATGGCTGTTTACTGTTCACAGAGGGCTGAGTGATACTAGCAATCACAGCATTGTAAGAGGGGGACAGTTGAACCCGGAGGCCTCCACCCCTGTTTAACGATGGACGATTTCTTTTCACAAAGATGGCCTCCTTTACTCTTCTCTCAAACCATCGTTCCTCTCTGTCCAGGATGTGAACATCTTCATCCTTGAAAGAGTGGCCGCTGGCCTGGAGATGAGTGTAGACCGCAGAATCCTGGCCTGATGATGTTGATCTTCTGTGCTGGGCCATCCTTTTGGCCAGTGGCTGTTTAGAATATTACTTAAGACCAATACATTTTTTATTTTTTTTTTAGAAATGTTGACCAACTGAAAAGTATGAACATGAAAAATATGAACATGTACAGCACTCAATAGTTGGGGCTCCTTTTGTTTGGATTACAGCAGCAATGTGGGAGCACTGGGACATATCCCAGTGGCCTGACCCGCTCAGTGATCAGGAGCTGGTCTAAAGGCTTGGTTTAGGTTGTGTGTTTTTTTTTCCCCTTGTCCTGTCCGGCATTGTGACACTCAGAATTACTGTCTGAGTGTCAAGGTGAAGCCCAACAGTTTTACTTTCACAAGCAGAGCAATATGGCTGACCTTAATGCTCTACTTGATATATAAATAAAACTTTATTAGAATTTACTTTGGATTTGTTTCAGATGTAATTGACACGGGGATGAAAACACAAAGAAGATAACAAAGCAGAAAAGTGGGAGAAGGGTTAAAAAGGGAAAGAAGGAGATAGGAGTAGAGGAGAGAGAGGTATAAAGAGAACACAAATCAACATCATTGAAGTCTGCCTCTAGACCTGCGGAAAGAAAAAGAAAGACAAAACCGAGAAACCACAACAACAAACAACATATATAATTATACTTATAACATCATTTGAAAGTATTTTGTACGGTACATGGTAATACAAGATATATTTAGTGGTCTCCACAACCCAATTGAGTGTGTATCTGATAAAACACCTGAATCTAAACACCTGTGTGAGCATGCTTGTCACTATAAGGTTTCTCTATAAAATGTTCAATGGTGTATGTGGGGACTCACAGATCTGTTCCCACAGGACACGATGGTATCACAGGGAAGACTGGAGCCATGGACACACAGTGGCCCCCAAAACCCGGAGTCCCGGGAGTCACAGTTCCTCTTCCTGACCGAGGCATAACACTATAGATGTAGTGAGTCTTCTTAAAACTGAACCAAACCTTTCTGTGATAGTTAAAAACTCTCAAACTATAAAAAGAGCAGAAGAAAACGATCTGTAATTGCACTTTATCTGGGTTGCTTCCTTTTTCTAGTAATACAAAATGTTCTATTTCTTTCCTTTGTGGAAATGTAATATTTATTCAGCATTCACAAAAAATGTCAAAACACCCTTTATTAGCCAATAAAATATTTATTTTGCATTTTCTTTGGGCAAACACACAAGAAATATGTTTATTAGATAGGGGTAGGCTTTTGTTTTGATTTTGAATGTCCTGAAAGTTGAAGTAGTTGTTAAAACAGTCTTTCCATTTGGATATTTATATTTAAGTACTGTTTTTTGTTAAGCACTTTGGTCACCATCACCATGGTTGTGTAAAGTGCTATAGAAATAATTAAATTAAATTAAATTAAATTATTTATGATTTTACTGCCTTCATGGACTTCTTTAGAGTGAGGAACAGTTTCTACCCTGAGGCTGTTAGACTCATGAATATCTAAGCAAGATAATCACCATGAAAGTCGCATCATGTTGCTGTGTTCATTCGTACTCATCGGCTCACGCAGACTCATGTTCGTGCTGCTGTTCGGAACTGCTGCACTGTATGGCAGCAAACGGCCATGGTGGGATTTTAGATGACTTAAAAAAAAAAGACCCACAGTGGATTTTCTTCTGAAGGATTTTCAATAAATCAGAATATCACCAAAGCTATTTTAATGCCTGGAGTACCTCTGCTGTAGTCAAAGCCCCCCTTCCTCTGTGAGTCTCTTTCCTCTCACCTCACTCTGCAAAGTACAGCCGTACAGAGAGCAGCCTGCTGGCATCCTCTCTGTTGAGCCAGGTGGATTTCACTGAGCACCGCAGACACCGGACAACCAAACTAATTAGAGTCCTGAGCAGAGTGAGGTAGTGGCACAGCATTCAATCATAATGGGTCTTTGGAGTAAAAATGTCTGGAGAGTTATCACACAGGTCGCCCTGATGCTTTTCAACTCATATGGAGACACAGAAACAGGTAAGAATGAACAGAGTGTTTCTCTTGTGTCTGGTCATTCACTTGTTTGTGAAAACTTGGTCTGTTCGTGTGAGTTGTTCTGACGGGCATGTGTTCTTATGGATATACACATATATACAGAATATTTGTTTTTGGATCAAACACATCATTCATGCATACCTTGGTGTGACTGTGTGCCGTACGGGGAGTGGAGAAAGTGAAGGAGAAACGCTGTAAATTCACAGATCCAGTAAAACTGAACACCTCAAAAATGTTACAGTTTGACTGTAAACTGTATGTGAAAGTTCATCATTATGAGTAGTTTCTTCCTTAATTTTGCCACTAGTAAAAATATCAAGTTAAAGGTTGTTTTGTTTGCTTCATTAAAAGCAAAGTTAAATATTAAATATTACATTTTTATATTCATTGTGTAAAATCCTTTCATTTTTATGCAGTGATACTATTTTCATGTGGATGATGTTTAATGAAAATAAAGCATGCCTCAAACAGGAAAATGATTGACATTCCCCCCACCCTAAGTTTATTTTCTAGTTGGGAAACAGTATATAAGTTAAAATAAATGAAATGAAAATAATTTCATGTCCAGAAGGAAATAGTGAACGCTCAAACTGCCAGTCAAAACTATGAACAAAAAAAGGGAAAACCTGCTTTCTCTCAAATCAATACTTGCAACCGATTTTTGTGCTCTTGGACACCGAACTCTGAACACCTTCCACTTACCAATCTGCAATGCCCTGACCTCCCTTCCATTTTTATTTTATCTGTGAGTTAGTGCTGAGATTGTGCCATGGTTGCAGCAGTGTTTGTCGGGGTGAAACGACATAAACGGATGTGATAGAGCACACGCTTCTGTTTCTGCAGCTGGTCACACTGACCCAGCTAGACCTTAAGGCAGCCAAGTCACTTTTAAAAGAAAGGGCAGACTGACAGGAGCTCGTGTGGTGTTGGAGTCATTATTTGTTAGCTGAGAGTCAAAAAGGCAAAGTCCTGCATGTTTGCAAGGCTGGGCATTATTTATATTCTGTACATTTTGAACAAACAGCATTTATCAAATTACAATTGTTTAAATGCTAATATGCCCTTTATTGTTAGTTTTAAATGGTTCTAAAGTTGGGCAGCACGGTGACACAACTGGTAGAGCTGCTGCCTCTCAGCGAGCAGGACCCCGGTTCAAATCCCGGTCCGGGGGCCTTTCTGGGTGGAGTTTGTATGTTCTCTCTGTGCATGTGTGGGTTTTCTCCGGGTACTTCGGTTTCCTCCCACAAACCAAAAACACGCATGTTAGACTGATTGGTAACTCTAAATTGTTCCTAGGTGTGAGTGAGAGAGTGAATGTTTGTTTGTCTCTGTGTCCCTGTGATGGACTTGTGACCCGTCCAGGGTGTACCCCGCCCCTCGCACAGTGTTTGCTGGACATGGGCACCGGTGACCCCTGTGACCCAAAATGGAAGAAGTGGGTAAAAGATAATGGATGGATGTTTCTAAAGTTTTGCACACAGATACTAGATTTAAAAAAATCAATTATATCAAAACATCACAAGAAAT